AAAGCTTTTAACCAATCAGATTTTATTATTCTGCCAAGAATGATCAGCTTGTTTGACCCACACCTCTCAGTTTCTTTGTGCACATGTTACAAGCTGCTCCCTGTGCTGCGTTCCAGATCGTAAGAAGGACCTGGTGAAGCTGCAGGCGGGAGAGTACGTCTCCCTGGGAAAGGTGGAGGCCGCGCTGAAGAACTGCCCTCTGGTTGACAACATCTGTGTTTATGCCAACAGGTTTGTGTTGATGAAACATTATAGTGTTAATAAAAACATCACTGTAATAATAAAATAATGAATTGATCAAAATATCACAGGTCATATGATGTCACATGCCAGTTTTTATATTTTAGGTATAATATATTGAAAGTACACCTGCATTTTTTGGTGATGGTCATTGCAGGCAGTTTAGAGTCAGTCAGATTGGTTGAGGAGCATCTGTGAGCAACTTTTTAAGTTTTGAGTTAGGATTGGGCTTTAACTAGGCCGTTAAATGTTGTGATCCTGTTGTCTAACAGTGACGAGGCCTTCAGTGAACAGCTGAATTTATCCTAAAATAAAATCAAACACTGATGGACTTTGGATTTTACCCTGGAGTATCAGAGTAACCATGACATGCGTTGAAGTTTGTAGTTTCGGGTTGACAAAATATATAAAAAAGTTAGAGGGTCTGAATAGTTTTGCAAAGCACAACAGAAACGTGATGATTAGCTTCTCTTATTCTGAGCATATTTCTGCTGCTTCAGTGTTTATCCAGCTCTCTAACACAGTGTTTCCTTCATATTTTGAAGTTTCAACAATCTGTTCACACTCACTTCTGGCATGTGTGGCTCCCAGCTCCTTATAAGGACACATATTCCACTGGAATAATGCACATGCATGCATATCTTTGTGGCTCCATCACCTTATTCGGCCCACTATACTGTTGCCGAGGGCCTTTTTCCTTTGTTGTGTTTTTTTTTTCCATCTCCCTTCAACACTGCTTCATGTGACCCTTCTGCTTTGCAGTGATGAAACATACGTGATTGGCTTTGTGGTGCCCAATCAGAAGCAGCTGCTGGCTCTGGCTGGCCAGTACGGTATCCGGGGGTCATGGGAGGAACTGTGCAACAGCGAGGCCATGGAGGAGCTGGTTCTTAAGGTCATCACTGAGGCTGCACTGACAGGTGAGAGCAACCTGAAGACTACCTCCAATAAGGGCTGGAGCTAACCAGGTTGCTAGCTAACATGGTCTTCCTTTCAACGCAGCCCAACTGGAGCGCTTTGAGATTCCTCGCAAGATCCGTCTGAGCCCAGACCCCTGGACGCCGGAGACGGGACTGGTGACCGATGCGTTCAAGCTCAAACGCAAGGAGCTGAAGACGCATTACAAAGACGATATTGAGAGAATGTACGGTGGAAAATAACGACTGGGAGCAGCAGATCACCGGTTGACTCAGCGGCTCTCGCCGCTACTTCTCACTCCTTCACCTGCAGTCACAGAATCATAATGTTTCTGAGCTCTCAATGACCTAATTGAACCATAGAAGTAGCTCTATGATTGTGTTATGAATCACGGGACAAGTGCTGATGAGGAAACCTGCAGATTCTGATCTTGGCAACTGATTTTTATTTTTTTTTTATTTCCAAAAAAAAAAAAAAAAGTTTTTCAGTGAAATATTTCTTCTTGCATATGAGAGGTATGAAACAGAGCAGGTGTTGAACTCTGATCTAAATATATTCATGTCTGCTGCTTCATAAAATCGGTTTGTTTTAATTATATTCTTTGTTTTAACTTAATAATTAAGCTTCCTCCAGTGTTGACTTTGCTTATCCTGCAGGTCAGGAGGCAGTTAATGTTTTTGTTCATTTTCCTTTTGTCTCCACGTTGTTTGGGTTTCTTGTCTTGGTTTATTTTGTCTCCCACCCACAGTCCGACTGTGGCTCCGCCTGATCGTGGGACAACAGAACGTTCTGACACAGAAAGCACAAGGTCTTTTTAGGGCAAATGTGAGTAGGTTGGTAAAAACTCAGAAACGTTCTTCTTGTGTAACGGTTGTATCTGACCTGAGCCTTTATTAGAAAACTTACATAGTTTAAAGAAACACGATACACATTTGTTTAATCTCCTGGGTTTTCTTACAGCGATAGAAAACAACTTTTGGGAGAGTAAGGAAAATGCTTGCGTAACAGACTAAGTTAATGTTTAGTTGTCGCTGTATTTGAAAAATTGATCGCAACAGGAAAATGTATTATTTCTGCCCAAGTAAGGCAGCTGATTTCAAACAGGACTATAAAAGACTCAAGCTTCCCCAGTGTGCGTGGAGAAGTGGTTGGACTGTAAACACACTAGTAAAAGTAGAGCTTTTGCCTTCCATGGTTTATTCTGTTTCAAGCAATGCCACAGAATTTTGCCCTGTGTGGGTCAGAGAAATTTGGATTCAGTGTCACCTAAGGACACTCCTTACACCAGACTGAGACAAAAATGAGATATTATAAATATACTAAACCAGGAGGCAGACTGTTTTTCTGGACTTGAAGAGAGCAGGAGCAATGTGCTCCTCATTATATGGAGCAAGAAACTGTTTTGAAATAGCACAAGGATTCTGTGACGCAATTGTGTTGTTTCTATGCTGCCATGGCAACATATCAGGGTCCAGTGTGAAGGAGTCTGGTAGCAGCAGCGGTAGCCCATCCATGACAGTCAACTGAGAATTTGAGCTTGAATGGCTACACTAATATCACCATATCTCCATCAGACTGGCAGCGCTCCAACTAGGTTATCATAACGCTCTTTAGCGTCCCACTGCTGCTCTGACCGGAACGAAAAGCATTTCAACAAGCATTTTGAATGACTCCTCCTGCATTAAACACTGCAAAAATATTAAATCTTACCAAGTATGTTTAGTCTGGTTTGTAGTGCAAACATCTGAGTACACTTGAATTAAGACAAAGCTAGATAGCAAGTGCATTTTCAAATTGTTTTTAATAGATACGGTCGTCAATATTGATTTTTAATTCCAAGTGTACTAAAGTATTTGCACTAGAAACTAGACCAAAGATGTTTGGTTAAATTTGGTATTTTTGAAGTAAAGTTCCCAGATATGGAGGACCAAACCAAACATTAGGCATGAAGGGTAGCTGCTATATGGGGCTAAGAGAAGTTGTGAGTTTTTCAACCTGTAGCACAAATGGAAAAAGTAGACTGTGAGCAGCAGATAATAGGGTTCATAATACAGGTTTAAAATAGTCAAGGTGTTACTCATAAAAACCGCTTCAACGTTCGTAGCCTTGCTGTGATCATGTGTGCAGAAAACCAGCCAGGCAATTCTGCAACTGGAGATGTGATGTCCATGTCAACAGTATTATGGTAGAGGAGTCAAGGAGGCAGCAGTGTAAACCCTGAGTAGGAAGAGCACACACAGTGTGTCATGCCTGCCTTCAGACTGAAGCTGCTTTCCAAATTCGTCAACATAGAGAGGATCGCACAGACCCCAACTTCAGTGTTCCTCACAGATTGCCACATGTTGCCTTTTGGTGATTCTAAAACATGCCTTTGTTGTTTTGAACTGATTCTTGAATCATACTTGATCACACACACAGATTTGTGGATATATAGGTAGAGAAAGCAAATGGCTGCTATAGCACCTCCACTCCCTCTTTATATGAGGCCTGCCTCATAACATGAGCACATCCAATTATTTATTTGCCATTTTGCTGTTGGAAAAATAAAATCAAATGAATTAAAAAAAGTTTGTGTTGAATCTAGATATGATTGAATGTCATTTTTGTGAATGGTTGTATTGAATCAATTTTTTAAAAAAAATGTTTTCTATGGAGCTCAACACATGTAAAAGCGTAACTAATACAAGATTTCTGGACTACTGCACCTCATCACATTTGGAGAAAACACAAATACGTCATTCTAATTGTCAAACACGTTGAGCTGAAATATAGTTTTACAAAAAAAAAGTTTGATACACAGTTCTTTGACAGAAATATAAATATAGGATCTAGCCATACAGAATTTTTTTACTAAGAACTGGTCTACAAGTTAATTAATCATAGGTTAGTCATTCACAAACTGAAATTATATATACCTGAGTAACTCTGTTTGTCAGATATTTGTAAATCATGTTTTTGTTCAGTAAGCATAGAAAAAAATATAAGAAATCTTCAAAAATAAGTAGATATATTCACTGTTGAAATACAGCTGACCCAGGGCCAGGAATTGAACCCAGGACCTTCTTGCTGCAAGGCAACAGTGCTACCAACTGCACCACTGGTGCTTCGGACATTATTTTCTTAATAAACTTTTACATTAGAAACAGTTCATCTGATAAAACTTCGTAAAATAAGACCCAACTGGTTTTCAAACATGTTAAAGACCATAGGTTGCTGCAGAGTTACATTTCAATGGAAATTTTACTTTTATCAGTGATTTACTTTTGCTGAAGCAAGATGTCAAAGCTGCTGATTGTTTAGCTTCTGTCACTGAGTCGCATGATTACTTCTTTGGAAACTGGGAGGTTCACAATCTCCAGATGAGTCAAGGTGGAGACAAACTAAAAGACTTCAGCTGTAATCACAGCAAAACGAGTTCCTAGTAATGATTAGGAGATCACTTTTCATGGTTTTAGTTTCAAAAATATCTTTTACACATTTTTCTGGCTTAAAATTATGCTTTACTGTGCGTTAGTCTATCAAAATAAATTATGTTGAACTTTTTTCTTGTAACAGAATGTGACAAGCTTCAGGGGTTGTGAACACTTTTTAGCTACGGCTTCAAAGCACTTCCATTACTCTGTAAAAATACTTTTCCATTACATCCCCTCTGGACTACTTTCTTCTGGACTCTGGAGATTTCTTCAGTAAGAATCTGATGCATGTATGAGCTCACAGTTTTATAAGAATCCCCAAGTGGTGTGAATCCTCTTAGAGTTGTGCTTTGATTTATTATTTATTTTTTTTAAACCCCTACGATTCCTTAGTGGGTCTGCTCAGGGCTCATCTTACAATCGGACCAGGCCATGTGACTCCTGATGACGCTAAAAGGACTTTGCATAAATAACTTCATCTGTGTCAGAGTTCTGCCCAAACCTCAGCGGGGACAGCAGAGCCTCACAGCAGACACGGATCCGCAGTTCGGTGAGTTCATTTGTTGTTTTTTTGTAACTTTTTTCAGTTTTTGTCCTCTACAATTTGGATAAACTTTTTTAAACTTTCGTAAGTTGCTGAAAATCGATTTGTAAAAAAGAAAAAGTGGAAAGGCTTTAAGTTCAATTCAATAGGATAAACATGCATATTTAATCAGGCTGAATTAACTGAATTTACATATAAAAATGTGCAACGACATTTTTTTTTTGTTTATTTGGATTTGATAAAACATGCATTTAAATTTGAGTTACACAATCAGTCCAAACAAAACAATTATATAAAGTTACCATGACTAAATACTACGTGTATATATTTGCATGCAATGCATACAAAACAACTAATTGGAAGTCAGTGTCCGTGCGTAAAACGCGCGTAAACGATGGTAAAGGTGTAAAAAGAAAAAAAAAAGAAAAAAGAAAGACAAAGTGTGCTTATAGATTAATACACACAATTAATTCACTTTTGTCCATGCCGTCCATCTTCTTCTGCCTTTTACAGACTTTCACCGCGAACTACTCAAAGAAATGGATCGCCTGGAAAACTCCACAGCAGCATCAGAGCGCCTCTTCTCTGATGCCGAGAGTGCGGCGGTGGAGTCCCAGGCCGCCAGAGAAGGCAACGGGAACGCATACCTCTACATACTGATAGTCATGTCTTTCTATGGAGTGTTCCTCTGCGGTATCATGCTGGGCTACTTTCGCTCCAAGAGGAAGGAGAAGAGGAGGATCAACATCTTCACGCGCCTGGTGCACGAGGAGGAGCAGAGGGAGTGGGGGGCTCTGCCCAAGAAGCATAGCGCCCCCTTCCCGGCCACCGTCTCGGGGCTGCGGGCCATGCAGGTTTCCCTGCCGTTCTGCGGTAACCACGGCAACCACTCCGGAGCCCTCCGCCACGAGGGCTTTCTGCCGTCTCCGCTGGCGTGCGCGCTGTGCGCGGAGCAGAGCAGCGTCAGCTCCCTGTGCTCCTCCGCAGACACGCGCCTGACCATAGAGGAGGAGGAGGCCGACAGCGGCGCGGCGGAGGAGCCGGAGGCGAGCCTGAAGGCGGCACAAGCGGAGAGCAGCGGAGACGATTCAGGCTGAACTTTAAATGCGAAAACTCAAATTCAACTGCAGGATTAAAGATGGAGAAAAGACAACTTGAGGGAAAATCAAAATGGCCTCAAATGCGTTATTATTGGGACCCTAAAGGGGACAGTGGGCAGCTGTGAGGCCCTAAGTTTGTTAGTGAAACTCAAATCATCATCCGTGCCATATGTATGGGAGAGAAACGACGAGGGTCTACATCACAGATCCACATTTTTTATTTTATGTTTATTTTTTTATTTTTTTATTTTTATTTTTTTTTGCACGTCAATTGCTGCTTTCAGGCTAATGACAAGTTCAACACAACGCCACACCTAAACACATACAGGTCATATCAACTGCAAATTTCCAACTCAGTAAAAAAGAATAACATGCAATGGACAATGCACCAGTTTTTTTTTTTTTTTTTTTTTTTAGTTTTTAAACTTTTTTTATTTTAGATAATTAATTTTTTTTAGT